CGTTAACGAAAAAGTATCGCTGTTACACAAACTGTGTAAACGCCGCCGCAGAGTTGGACAGCGTCCCTTCTGGAAGACCGGGAGCACCGGCGCATTCATAAGAGTGGGCGCAACAATGGCAGACTGGAGGCTAACCAGCTTGCTGGTGTGGACTGTCGTTGTAGGTTTGTGCGATGAACTGGCGGATTATGACGTTTCCTGTTAATGAAACTTCCTTACCCTCGCGAGGTTCCGCGGCAGCAGTTTGTCATTGAGTGAACTGGTCTGTACCATGACTTCGTTGAAGGCGATTCACTCCAGAGACCAGTTCTTTGAAGAACGAGTACCTCACAGAGAATGGCTGAATTGGTAATGACTTTTCTGTAGTGTATTCAAAATACAACGCTCCCCTCTTGCACGATGTATTTAAGGTGTCAGTGGCACTATAAGTCTACAAAACCCCTCCACTCTGTCTCTACAATGCTACATATGCACCGTACTCGCCCTCGCGTACAGTCAACAGCAAACGTGTAAGGAATGTTCGTTGCACAGCCAATGCGAATTTATTCTCTCCTAGTGAGTGTCTTCTATTCTAACAGAGGGCCCCATAGGTAGGAACACCAACTTCAAGCTGGTGCACTTGTTTGTAGAGGCTATGGCCACAAAGTGAGAATACAGCTTTTTTCGGACATTCCGGGTCCCGCGAATGTTCGACGTTCGGTGAACGTTTAACCTTTGCGACATCGATCTATCTATACGCTTCCATAAAAATGCAAACGCCAGCACGCCCAAGTGAGTCACGCTTGATTAGTTTACCATTAAGGAAAGCCACTGGTCATCGCTGATGCAAATGCTGGCGCGTCTCTGACGCAAGCCTTATACCGGCCCTCCTAAACATAGGCATTCCTGTCTACTCCGATCGTTGAGGGGGAAAAAATAAGAAACGAAGGCATAAAGACGTGAAAGAATCCAACGCGAGTCGGTGGACATGTGCGTCACTACTGGAGTCTGTGTGCGTAAGAGATAAGGAGATGCAATCATTCGACTGGTCCTTGCGTGGACATTGCACATATGCTTTGCTGAAACTGGCAGTACTCAGGCAATAAACTGGTTTCTACGTGTGCCTGAAGCGATGTGAGCAACATTGTAGGTGTTAAAGCGAGTATCTTTCGCACGCAAGCCAGCCCGCAACCCTTCTTCTAGAAGCTACGGCGACACCTAATTTACGAGCCTTGCACGAACGCGAGCTCATAAAAACGTCCCGAAAATGCCATTCATGTTTACCAGAATCTTAACTCCCCTGCCTCACTCGGTGAATGCGGGATAAATCTTCTTTCAATTTCCTCGTCTGCTCTCCCGAAATTTCTCTTCTACTTTTTGCTTCTTTTTTTTTGCCTCTATTAGCATTTGCCACCGCCGTGACGCGAGTGTGTCATCGAGTATAGGAAAAGCGTGCGCACCATCTGATGAATGGTACAAGATTCCACAAGGATAATCCGTGGGCGATGATGTAATACAACTCGTCTCAGGCCCCCTGAGTTCTGCGATCAAGATATACGACACACTAGGGCAGGAAGTTCAGGCTCAAGCGCGAAGTATTTGCTTGCTGAAAGGTAGCAGTGGCTTTTTGATGTTTCCTGATGTTTTGCCCTTTGGTGTTTCTGATGTTTTCAGAAGCTTCGAACATCTTTCTGGAAATGAAGCGAAAAATTGACATGCAGAAGGATGGGCATGCAAGAAAGAAAGGGGGGGGGGGAGGCATGGAGCATGATGGCAAGACAACCACTGGGACTGGCCATCAAGAGTAATAGGCTGGATTTAATATTAAAAGGAAGAGAGAATGGGCAAACGCAACGCAACGGCGCGCTGTTGATACTGGTGTAGCAATCTTCGTTTTTGGTTAAAGCGTTGGGGCAGCCGAGGTGATCTCATTCAGAATGCTCCTGCAGCTCCTGGGCAAGGACCAAGACCTGGAACTAGAACCACGTCTGAATTAGTCCTCGAAAACATTTTTTTTTGTCGCGGGCGATGGTGTCTTGGATTCCCTAAGGCATCTCTGCGTAACCCCATTTGAGAACCACTGTCATAGGAGATATGGAACCGGAACAGACTCTGTCTGCTTTGTTTTTACCATCTACGCGTTGTTAATACCTGCTTAGTGGAGTAAGGGTTATGAAAATGAAAAGTGGTTTGCACCTTGTGGAATTCAGCTGAACTAATTTGCCATATGAGAGGCCTGCTACGCGGGACCTCTCTGCTCTATATATTTGACATTGAATTGACTGTCATCGAACGTTACTCGATTACCCTGAGAACTAAAGACATGCGTATTCCCGTGTTTGTAAAAACGATTCGCAGGTCATCCGTCCAGAAGAGAGATTCTGGAACCCTCGCCGTGGCCCAGTGCGTAATGGACCGGAAGAAGTTATTGACCTCGTCGTGGACCGGAAACCCGTGGCCGCAGAGTAGACGGTGTTGCCCCTTGCGGCTGAAACGAACTATAATAAGGAGAATCGGAACATTAAAAAATCTGGCGAAACAATTAAAAATGCGGTGTCCCTTCAATTTCAGGTAAAAGCGTCATTGCATGGCGTTGGTATCAACTAAGTGACGTAAAAATTATCGTCACTTGATGACGTTTCCACATGACGTCATTGTGATGTCACAAACCACTAAAGTCTGTGACGTAGCCATGACGTAATCGTTAAGTCATTGTGACGTCACGTACCATGGTGTTACAAATTGTCATCTCACGACACAGTTGCTTAGTAAAAAAGTTCCCGCCATCTCCACGAAGTGAAGGATAATGAGTGGGGTGAAGCTGCAACTGTTATCGGTAAAACAGAATTATTCGCCCGCAAATGATATAAAGACACGACGTTATAAGATCGATAGTGTATACACGTATATATGCATGTTCATTATGTACAAATGGATACAATTACATACAATTATACTCGCACTATTTAATCATTTACATATCGATAGTGATTACAAAACTGTGGGACTCGTTCTCCTTGGAAGATTACAATTTCGTGGTTGGCGAAGTACGTGGCGAGGGTACTCGGACGAAAGGTTGCAGTTGAAATTCGGGTAAGGCAGTGCCGATACAGGTGCGTATTATGGTGGTGGGACGCTTGTGGTCGCACGAGCTGCACCCAGAAACCGTGACGGGACATCATGTGCGGGGCTATAGCCAGCAGCCGTCAACCGCCGTGATGTCTGCGTTGAAATCTCCAACGAGCAAGAATGAGCTGTTCGAATGGCTGTGTTTCTTTGTGTATACCGATGCATTGCCTTCTCGATGTAAGTGAAGACGTCTCTCGTCAATAGGTTCAGCAAAGAATTGGTTTGGTGCGAGGTAAACGGTCCTAATGACAATCCCATCAGAGACGACAGTTATAGCGCGGGAACAAAACGACGACACAGAAACAAGAAGGACACGAAAGACACGAAAGTCCTTCTTGTCTCTGTGTCGTCGTTTTGTTCTCGTGCTATAGCTGTCGTCATTCCATACCAACTAGCCCAAACTGCCACACTTCTAAATCCCATTAGAAAGCTTCACGGCAGCTAGCGTATTCCCCGTTGCAGTTCTGGTTGGTAAATAGTAGGGGTGGTTTTACGTATACGCATTCCGACACCTCCAGCTGTACGCTCTGCATCATCGGTGCCCATGGTCACTTGACCGTTGCTTCCCGCTCCGATTCGACGTTTTCTGGCCGCCTCTGATTCACGGGCTATCACTTTGGCATCCACTTTTCGTCCACTTGTCGACGAGCCTGCTAATCTTCGGCTACGCGAGTCCTCACCGCCGTCGCCACCTCCGGATCGATGCTGGTGCTGACTCGCGATTGCTGCCGACGCTGGCGTCCTTTTCGGTCTCGCGAGCTCTCACCGCGGAGTCTGGGCGGTGGCCCCGCATTGCAGCCGCGTTGCGAGTTATCCGCGCCACAGACTTCGCTTACAAAGCGTTCATGATGAGTAGCTGCGTGTAGATGTGCACTCACGGGTCTCCCGGTGGCGAGAAACGAAGCGTGCCAAAAGCGTTCGAGCTCGCCTCGAGAACTAGCGGACACGACGCGCCAAGGGACTCGCCCCGAGCGAGAGGTGCTTCGCCCCTAAACGTGGGCCGATCGCGGAGCCCACGCAAAAGTCAAGTGAGGTGCGGACCTGCGCCAACCCTGCGGGCAGAACAGGTGTGGCACAGAGATCCACTCCTCACCTTTAATGAAGTCTGTCAGCACTACCAACTCAGTGAGTGAAATTTTCAGCCGCCACATGTGGAGACTCCGAGACCACCGTCCGTCACGCTCTGGATGCTCCAAACCGAATCGTACCGATCTCCGCCAATACTTAGCAAATTTATATGCAACATTAAGTCAAACTGCCCCGATTACATGGAACGAGGGGGCACTGTGAGCGTCAAGTTAATCGTGAGCGGTGGCAAGCCTTCGCGGTGGTACAGTGTGCGCCATCCATTTATCACCACGGACACGCGTGCAGATATATGCGCAGAGCTGCCGAATAGGATGCGCGCGCCTGTCAATGCTTATAGCTGAATAACGTGTACGATACCATCTCGAAGGCTTGCCTCTAATCAGGTTTCATTTGACGCTGATAGTACCCTCCTTGCACATGGTCTGACCGTGTTCATTACTGTATGGTGTCTCTCTTAACTCTTCCGAGGCCCCGTAATCAGCGGTCACCTACACTCACCCCCGTGTTCCAGAACGTCCCTTCACTCAACGCTTCGCCTTCACTTGAGAAGTCCGACGGGAGCGCCGTCTCTAGGCAGGGAAAGTTACTGCATATCAGCGATAATCTGCTGCGATTCTTGAGTAGCGCAGCGCCACTTTCAGCCGAGCAGCGGCGCAGTGCTCAACTCTGTAAAGTGAAGGGTGAAAGTCGAGTCGAAGAGAGTTTGTGAATACTGCGATCAGTGTACTATACTACAAGCCCGGACTAGGTCAAACTTCGAGCCGTCCAGAGGGCCCACGACTCGGCGGCCGGGCTCATCCTGCCCCTCCCACATGGGTGCGGCCCGCGGCCGAATGTCCTTGAGTGGAATTGGCCTCTCAAGACGTCAGTAAAGTTTTTTGACTGCCTGAAGGGCGAGAAGCTTGCAGTGCCTACGGCACTGCGAGCTTTTGGTACAGAGCTATACATTAAGAGAGAGAGGAGTGAATGTTTATTTTTGAAACAGTGCCCCGAGCAATGCTCGGTGTCACCCTGAGGTGGGAGGGCTCCTCAGTCCAGGAACCCTCTGGCTTCTACTGTCCTCTTGGCCCTGGCGACGACTTGTCGTTGGTCTTCCAGGTCCTCGAGGGCGAGCTTCGCCTCCCACGTTTCGGTTAGGTCTTCGTTCGTCCATCCTGCTTCATTATGAGTCGTGTGTTGTTGCAGATCACGTCTGGCAATACACTGATATCGACTAGAAAGAAAAAAAAAATTTACAAGACTGATTTCGCCTTCTGGTCATCTTAGGCGATCGCGTAAAGGGTACTGTTAATTTCTTGAGATATTTTGTCTTTTTTATTACGCAACATCATTTGGCCTCAGTACAACGGTGGCTTGTACTGCATCGATCCGTCATATTGCGCGGAGCCGCAGTTACCGACGAACATTTCGTGGCGTGACGCGCCAGCGCTGTGGATGCCGAGTGCCGTTGGTATCCACCACTGAACACAGCTCTACGCACTGAAATGGCTGATACACCGGCCTGCGACGAATGCAAATGGGAAGAGACTGTCGATTTGCTCGAGTGGTAAGTCCCTTCCCATCACTCTCTCGTCACTGAGGTTCCCTCAGCTCAGTTTGTTGTAAGTGCTGCACCATAGTTTACATTGCTGGACTTCGCAGGATTAATTAACAACGTGTAATGGATATTCGCTCCTTTCTTTCATAATAATGCAACTGATCTATACATCTTCAGTCTGCTCTTTTCTCACCCTTTTCTAAAGGTGTATATCTGTTAAGTTTCAATTTCTACGCGTTCTCGTTTTCAACAGGCACCGCAGAGGCAGACAAAAAGCGTCCGGAGCGGGAAGTCGTCGTGAATGTTGAATGTGGGTCAGCCCGTATACTCTTCACCCAAATGTTACGGGAAGAAAAAGTTTTGAAGAATACATTTGCAAGGTTTACGCACCGCAGAGACTCGGAACCGGGCACAAAGGAAGGAGCCAAGTCATGTCGGTCTTTATTTCGCATCAAGTTGTCCGTCTTACAAAGAAAGGAGGGAAATGCTCGGCCAGGAACAGAAAGCAGCAACAAGGTAGCCTGACGAGGTTCCCGCCCACCTGTTGGCACAGGGGAAAATGGTGAGAAAATATTGCAATTAAACATTCAACACAATGCAAGCAGGTGAGCATGGCATGTAAAAAAACCCAATCGAATTGGTTTGTTTGTTTGTATATATCCATGTTTGTTTGTTTGTTTGTTTGTTTGTTTGTTTGTCTGTTTGTTTGTTTGTTTGTTTGTTTGTTTGACGTTATCGGACACATGCTCTATAACGTCATAGAAGTTTAGTGTGAGTAAGAAACACGTGTCTATGTGTGTTTCTTTTTCTGTGTGGTCGTTGATTCGGCGCGACGTTGACTATTCAGCCCCGCCGCGGTGGTCTAGTGGCTAAGGTACTCGGCTGCTAACCCGCCGGTCACGGGATCGAATCCCGTCTGCGGCGGCTGCATCTCCAATGGAGTCGAATATGTTGTATGCCAGTGTACTCCTGCAGATTTGGATGAACGTTAAAGAACCCCAGGTGGTCGAAATTTCCGGAGCCCTCCATTACGGCGTCTCTGATCATCATATGGTAGTTTTCGGACGTTAATCCCCACATACCAATCGATCAATATTTCATGTTGTTTCCTTTGTCGTTGTTCACCTATTGCCAGTTGCGCATACCCACAGTGGGGGAAATGGCCAAGAATTGAGACGCACGAACTATTAATTGTTAGTTTATTCCCAATCAGTTTTATTTTCCGGACTTGTTCTCACCAATTTGATAGTATGGTATATTAAAATTCAATTATATGTAATCCTTAGACAACCTATTGATTCATTGTCCTTCATCTAAACGTTAAATTTTTCTGTTATCTTAACTGCCTGTTGAAATGCCCATTTCTCCGTGGTGGGTACGAGCCAGATGTAAAGGGTCAAACGCGCAAGATGTTCGAGCTGCCCTATGCCCCGCCCCTGATGGAGACATCTTTCGTGGTGCTGGTCAGTTTGGTACAGTGACTCATTTTTCTTCATTCTTAGCGCCTGAAAGAGGTGACGCCGTGGTTGCGTCTTGCTGCATACTTAGACAACATTGGCGAAGCGCACCTCTTCTAATGGACCAAGATTTGCCGATCAGAGGAAAAAGATGTAAGCTCCACTCGCAGAATGGTGGTGCATCCTGCTTTTCAACTACGTATGACTACGTAAGATTAGCTGGTTTGCGCTCGAACCAGAAGTACTTTCTTCTACTGTAAACACTACACGTATTAGGAGTTGCAGTCTCGTCGTTACTACCTGAACTTT